TTGTTTCGCCCTGATACAGATTATGGTTGCAGATGTTGTTGCCTTGCCATGTGTTCTGATGATGTATTGAATTGTGCACCAAAGATGTCCGGTACGCTTGTGAGCATGAGCTGAGAACATAGCCCACTGAAGGCGCTCACACGATTGCGTGGAGCAGCAGTCGCATCTTTCGACGGAATAGCCAAATCACAGGAAGCCAAAATCGACAGGCACTGGCAGCTCAACTTTGAATGAATTGGTCACTGCAGATTCCTGACAGGTACACGCTGGAGAACAAGTATCGCAAGACTCACCCAGTGCAGCTCGGCCATTACGATGCCAGCTGCAACAGCTTCCTCTGCTGCTCACGTGTTATCTCTAACTGATGCAGCTTGCTTGTAAGTTGTTGAAACGAGGAAACATCTTGCCAGCGAAGAAGACGACGCCATCCCAGCGTGTTGAGGGTGGCAACGCAGGCTGAGTACTTGCAGTGGTCAATTACTGCCAGGTCTCGAAGTGGGCCTTCCCCTCGAATGCGGACTTCCTGTGAGATCTTTTAGCGGACTGGCTGCCTGCAAAGTTTCACTTGTAGCAGAGAACTCTGGACCTGCGAATGCCACGCGGGACAAACAGTCACAAGCAGAAGTTTTTTTTTTCGCGTCTTGTCTTGCACTGCAGGGTTGGCCAGGTGCTCTTTGTGGGTGCACAGACATCAGAAGGAGAACAGATACCAAAGGTGTCAACCTGAGCCTTTGGTGGCAAAGTTTGTGAACAGGCTAGGGTTGATGAGAAGCATGCACTGCTTCACTGCTGCCTACTGCTGCAAGGAATTGTAGGCATTCGCCCAGAAGACTTGGAGGCCACGCAGGGCCTATTCCCAACTGCATAAACTCCTGCCAGTGTCATGCCAAAGTTCAACCACTTCCTGAATTGAGTGCCAGGACGAGCCAGATCTTGGAGCCAGTTCAAATGACAGCAGGTCCTTGTCTGGTGCTTAACTTGTGTGCTTGGAGCTTGTGAGCTTGCAGGTCCCAGGTGGCACTGGGATCCGATGCTGGGAAACCCAGAGCTGCTGTCCCCGCTTTCGTAGCTCTGTTCTGCTCTGTTAGTTTTCCCAGGGCGTGGAATCAGATGATGACTTGGCCAAGAAGGCGCAATTGACAGGCAGGGTCAAATCAATTAGCAAGCGCTGTTGCAGGATGTGCTGAAAGCACTGGATGATGCCCCGAGGTCGGGCAGTCATGTATTGAGGCTAGCATGTTGTGCAGACAGGGGTGTGGATGAGTCCTTCAATAGGTGTTTATGAACTACATGTGAGGCGTATACTCCCTGAACGCATACTCTTTCGGTTAAGAAGCTGTGATTCAGCCTGCACAGAAATTGGATCGACTATACAATTTAGACGGGCAGTTGGCAAACGCTGCCCATATGAGCTGTACCGCTGAAACAAGCTCTAAATCCAGGTTTCTCCAGAAAGGCCGGATCCTGAGACTGTCCCGCACGGCTGCAGCCCACGGCCACCCTGAGCACTTCTAGATCCGGACAATTTGGCTCACAAGGGAAGACTCTGGCGGTGAGAGAAGCAATCAGTGCAGTGCGTCATCTCAGTCTACTTGCTTTCGTCTTGTTGCCGTGTCACATGATCGCCCTGCTGGTGAGGCTCAACGGTCTGGCGTGGATGGAAGCAAGATTCATCAGGCACGGACTGCGTGCACAAGAAGGCTTTGCGCGCTGGACTGAGTAGTGCAAGTGCCAAGGCCGAGACACTTCTGCAAGATCATTTGTCCCAGCAGACAAGCAAGGAGACTGAACAAAAGGCAGAACACTTGACCTTCTACCATCACAGTTTGTCTTTGTTCCGACAGAGGTCTCCAGGTGGATGGCTTCAAGGGCAGCTTCAGATCTCGAAGCCTGCAGAAGGCCAAGCTAACTCCCTCGTCAAAGCATTGCGTTCGTGGTGGCGTCTTCTCTTTGCCTGCCAGTTTTGTCTAAATCTTGCAGGCTTCTTGAGGAAGCTTCCGGTAACCGTTGCTCTGAGAAGGCCTTCTGAGGATGGTAGATAGCGACTGCTCCTTCGCGCAGAGCGGATGCTCTGTGACTCGCACAGGTGCTCCAGAAGCTCCGTGCTCATCTCGAGAAGCTTGAAATCACAAGGACAAGACGTCGCGTGCTGAGCTAGTGAAAGCTTAGCTCTCATAGCGCAGGCCTCTCGTTGAGAGCGAGCTTCAGCAGGCTGAGCTTTCTTTCACATGCTCGTTTGGGATCACTCCGTGCAAGACTGCATTCGGTCATCACTTTGTTGTGAGTTTGTCGATGCAGTTGCACAGGCCAAAGCATACCTGACCCAGAGCTGCAAGGATTTCTTAGCAGAAGCCACAAGTGCAAAAGGCCTGGGCATGCCTTTGCGCCTTTCGCTTTGTCAGCCCACTCTCGAAGCAGGAAGGGCCACGCTGTTCCTCAACGCTGCCGCTGGGAACACCCTGCATGTAGGGCCGTTAAATCAGAGACAGTTGATGTTTTCGTGGCAGGCACAAGGCACCAGCCTTCTTGCGTCTGAATCCTCCTCTTCAGATCTTGAGCTTGAAGGCTTTGCCGGGTGCTTGCCAACAAGTCCTTGCCAGACTACAAGTGACAGGTCGAGACGATTGGAGGAGAGGGTGCGCGAAGCGCCCACAGAGATCAGGAACCGAAAGAACAGCACAGACTTTTTTTGCATTGCAGCATTGCCAATCATGGTCAATCTACTCACGAGTAGCCGTCAACGGTCTGAAACGCTGTTGCTGGCTGCTGCAGTCTGTGCCCCGTCTGCAGATCAGGAGACGCTGCTGCGTTCCATCACCGTCCGACCTGCAAAGGACTTCTTTTGCGCACTGGCGATGAAACTTGCAGCTTCCTATCGCCAAAAGGAGGACAAGGCCATCAACGAGCAGCGTGGATTTCTGGAGTTGGAGTCCGCTTGCAGCGGTTAGGCATTTTGGTGCTTGTCTTGTTGAAGAGATGTCCAAGGCATGGAGAGGCGGATCAGTGTGTGGCAATGAGGCTCTCAGCAACTGGAACCGCAACCATGTAGTCCAATCTATTGCTTCCTGCTCGAAGCTGATCTCTTGAACTGTCCCCGTGCCATTGCTTTATTGGTTGTCAACTTGCACTTGCACTTTCTTGTGCTTGCGACATATCTGGTGTTCTACTGCAAGGTCGCAGGCTCTGCGGAATGGAGCTTACATGTCGTGCAACTCGTGTGTTTCCGTCATGCTGTTCTTGTTGCCGGACACGGATTTTAAAGCGTGAAGTGAGGAGTGACGCTCCGAAAGGCTTTCGATTTTGTTGTTGACGCTTCTGTGCAGGTGTCGCGTCAACGGCAAGGACAGAGATTGCAATAGCAACGACATCATGATTATGCAGGTGATTCTACAGATCGCGCCAAGCGTGAAGGTGTGGCTCAGACTACTGTTGATACTTACTTACTTGCAACACGACTGCAACAGACCGTAAAGCACCTGACATGTGATCAGGCAAAGCTGTGTACTGCAGCACAAGAAAGGATAACTCTCTGGGATCATATGGCTGCAGTTGAGACGAAAAGGAGAGGCTGTGGTGCTTCGTGGAGGCTTCTGTGGCGCAGAGGGACCGCCTAATTCAGGCACGTTTGCATGAGATTAGTTGGGCTTAGCTGCTACTGCCAGGGATGAGTTCGTTCATTTGCCTTAACGTTGCTTTCTCTAGCTGCGTTCTGGGCGTTCTGGGTTTCATGCAGGCTGACATGCTGTTTGGCAGGGCGCATGTTAGCTGTAGGAAGATGTCTGTGATGCCTGAGAATCCCAGAGCCATGCAGCTCAAACCGCATGGCGCCTGGGGCTATCGCTCCATTCAGTTGTCGCCAGATCCTCAGAGTGATGATTTTCCCTTTTCTGGTCCGGATGTCTTGCACAGACATGGGCTCACGTGAGGCAACAGTGTCAAGATTGTCGCCTAAAACTGCATCTCATGCAGCTTTGTGAAACGCCATGTACCTAGATTCAGGTGAGATGACAGTTGCAGTTGTAAGCATACTGCGGGCCTCCCTCAAACAAGACATCTTGAGATGCCCAAACTCTTTCGGATCACCCGCACACTCAGCCTCTTTTGCCATGCTAGGTGACCTGCATCAATCCTAGACGCCATATCCATATTGCCGCTTCTGCTGCAAGGCTGCCTAGCATGCAGTTGCTGTTGGAAAGGGCCACGACAGTGGCCGTGATATGGTCTGGATTCCAGGCACGCAGTTTTCCGTGCTGCCCGGGGGGGCCATGGCTCCAGTGCCCGGTTCATTCCGAAGGCCGGGACTTCGGCATAGAGGCAAGGTAGTAGAGCCCTCATTGCTGCTGAGGTTGGTATTTCTGCTACTTCTGGGCACGGCATCCCTGGCAGCCGGCAGTTATGACAAGGCGCTTCCGCTGGAACGCAGGAAGTACATGCATTCTGGGTCACCTGTCCTTGACGATTTTGGCTTCTGATCAGGCTGCAAACGCTGCCTTTGGGATCGTCACAAAGCTGCAAGACGCTTTGGCCGGCGGATCGGCGAAGGCTGGAGTAAGTGTTGCTTTGAAAATGGCCTTTGCTCAGAAAATCTGTACAGGATCCAGTTCTGGCTGGAATCGAGACCGTAGAGCAGTCAGTGCAGAGAGCCTCGCACGATGGCGCGCAGATACAGGCTGTTTTGCCGCTGATTCAGCATGGTGTCATGTAGAGTAGCAGCGCTCCCCGCCAGGAACTGCTAGGGCAGATCCAATCAGCTCTTGATGTAGAGCTCTTCCACCTCCGGTTCGAGGCCAGACATTGATGTAAGCTCAAGTATGTGGGGGCCACGCGAGAGACTTGGAAGGAGACCCAAGCCGCTGCTCGGAGCGAGCTGGATGCGTTGGATCAGCGTTTCAAGGCAACATCGACATGCGCCTGAAGCTGCGAGACATTGCGCCTTTGTGTGATTGCAGCTTCAGGCGTGTCACACCGGGACCCCGGCTGTGCTGTTGGACACAGCCAGCATGACATCCCAGCACAGAGCCTGCCACCTCCTGAGTTGGGCTGTCATGGTCATGAGTCAGAGTGTGAAAGCAGGGAAATAGTCTAATAGTGCATGATGTTCTTGTGACCAAGGTCGTCAAGCAGAAGCAATTGCTTGGTCCGCCTTCACCGAGAAGTGTCATCCAGACGCTCTTCATTTGGAGAGTCGTAGGCTGTTGCAAGGGCACGATTGCCACCGGCTTGGGCAAGACTACAAGCAGCAGCGAAGCGCCTGTAATCGACTCCAAGACGAGCTTGATTCTGCAGTTTGTGCACAGGTGCACAAACAGGTATCCTGTGACCGTCGCCTTGCTTGTGAGGCAACGGTATTAGATGCTATGAACACTGCTCTGGACACAATGGAAGCACAAGGCCGCGAGTATTTTGGTCTCGCCAAGGCAAACTCCTCTGTGGCCTGCTTGTTGTCAGCATTAAGGCCAGGTGAAACCACAGACGGTGCCCTGAAATCTTGCCACAAGCTTGGAGAAGAGCACGATGTAGAGGCCTACATGCTATCGTTGCCTTCATTGCCCCAGATGACCACCTGTGAGCCCATGGCCGTTCTCCAGCAGGGAGTCTCTGGTGGGGTCGTCGACTACAGTGATTTGCCACGATTAGCCCCCTCCAAGACTTGTTCAAGTGCCTGCTGCAGCTCGTTGTTGCAAGAGGATCCGATTACAAACTCAGAGGACTACGAGCAAGCCCATGACGAGAAGCCGCCCATAACCCTCGAGGGCTGCGTGGCTTGGTTTCGCGCAGAGGATGCAGCAGAGCCATGGCCCAGCACCGTTGGGTCCCACCAAGGGCACGTTGTCAGTCGCAAGTCCGACATGGGCCTGGAGGTTGGGCATGGCGCCAAGAAGGGGGTGCGCTTCCTTCGTGGCGATGAGAAGACTCGCTTCGACTTCGGAGAGGCAAGGGATGTAAGGGGTGTTCAGTTCTGTGTCTTTTGTTTCCCCTTTCACGACAGGTCCTGGAAGAGTCCTACACCGTTTGCTCGATTACACGTTATACCGGCCAGCCTTATGGACGAATCCTTCAGGGTTCCGAGGGGAACTGGCTGCATGGGCAATCGGCTGGGAAAGCGGGCGTCACTTGCAGCGGACAAGACATGCCTGCAGCAGCGGTCTTGGAAGACTGGGTAGTAGTTTGTGCAACTAGCGATGACTCACGTGCAGCACTTGTAAATGGAGAGACCGTGCTGCAAGACTCTTGCCAGCCTTCGAATGTGAAGCTCAAGCAGAACCTTGTCATCAATCATGGAAAGATGTGGGAGGAAGTTTCCAAATGGGCCGTCATGGAAGTCATTGTCTGGAACAGGGTCCTGTCTGCGCCGGAGATGACACAGGCATCTGATTATCTGAACGCCAAACTTGCCAGCGGAGTTGCCGTCGATCTGAAGATCAGCAAGGCGGATGGATCCTGCAATGGACGTCGGGTGCAAGTCCAGCTCTCTACGAAGAGTGGCGAAGGTTGGACTCACTATGCAGACGGAGGAGACGCAACAGCACCTGGGCTGATGAATCACGTGTTTTACACTGCTAGCGTCGTGTCCGTTGCTTGTGCCTTCCTGTCTGTGTTGAGCATCTTCAAGCTGTGATTGCAGGACAAGCGCCAGTATCTACTTCCTGACGCCTCGTTCGGCAGCTATAAGGTCCTTGACAGTGCTCTCCCGATTGTTAGCCTGCGGAAAGATGAGCTGGCTCCCTGGGGCCACTCATCCTTGCGAGGCAAGGCCTTCGTGGTCATGGGCAATCACAAGGGCCCCAAGACGCTTTCCTTCTTTGCGATTGACAGCAACTTGACCATCCGAATCACTGTCAATGGGACTGACTGGAAGGATGTGGAGTTGGAGCACGGCACTGCAACCTACGTAGAGGGGGACTTTGAGTTCTCTCGGGTTCTGTTGATGGGAACCCGGAACTTCCTGGTCACCATGAGCGGGCCAGACCAGACGTTCAACACGCCAGTGGCACCGGCTGCCAAGACGATCTATGGTCCTTGTGCTGAGGACTGGTACGTCACAAATTTAAAGGGAACACCCACCACCATCAAGCAGGAATGTTCCGATGGGACCTCACATACATATACGGCCAACACTGTGAGTTGGCGGATGCATGATGACGCACGGACCGCTCACTACACAAACGGTCCTCAGGTGAGCAATGATGCTTTATCCAAATGCGAAGCGTGGACGGGAACCTTGGCGGCTGCTGTCAAGAAGTGACTTGCCTCATTGTAGCTTAGGATATTTGCCTTCGTCAGTTATGAGGACTGCTTTTCCAACACCAACACATCACAAAACATGCGGATGCTGAGGTGTGACGAGTCGGGCAGCTGTCTGTCCTTGCATGACGCTTTCTGCGACGGCCGGGAGTGGAGGATCTGCTCTGTTACTGCGGAGACCTTGAAGAGTCCGGCTCCCACTTGCTTGCGAAGCCTTAGCCTTTCGTTGCCGTACTCAGTCTTGGGCTAGTAAGGTGTGGATGCTGGGGCAACAGATGCCTGCACCAAGATCAAGGGTGCCTCCCTCATCCAAACCGAGAAGCAGTCGCCTGCAGGACCTTTCAAGACTTCTCATAGAGGTTGATATGTCACCTTGAGATACCTGGCAGCAGTGACCCTCTCGTTACCTAGATCCCAGATTTGAACCGGTCTCCAGACTCCAGGCCATCCTAGTCAGATCCCACCATTTGAGATGTTCAAGGGGTCTGAAACACGGAACCGGTTCGAACCTCCTAGTTCCCTGCAGGATGGTATCGCGTTGATCAAGAAAAGAAGACCTGCAATGCCACCTGCAGCGCACTTTCCTTGGTTTGTTCGTCTGACAGCTCTCTGCTGAGCTCCGAGAACAAGATGAAGGTGGCAGTTGGAGTGTTGGGAGGAGCTTGTTCAACTGTCGATGAGGCGCAGAATGGCACATTGGCCGCGACATTCCGACCAGATCCCAATGATGCCTCCAACACCATCTGCGTTCCTGCAAGTGAGAGCGTCCCGCTGGATTGCGGTCAGGAGATGCCGAATGATGAGACAGTCCGCATATGCTACTGTGGCTCCGGTGTTGATGAAATGTACAAACTGGCAAGCAAAGGCAGCAATATTTGTCCGGACGACTACCGTGCAGTCGAATCTAAGGAGGATTGTCAAACGGCTGCCGAGGGAGAGCTTCCAGGCATCCCCTCTCCCAGCGTTTGGGACCCACAAGATCCCAACAATCAGGGATCACCTTCCAGCTGCTTCAAGGATTTAGAGACCGGAAAGGTGCGCTTTAATTCCATTGCCATGAAAGGCTATGAATCCTTGGACAAGTGGCAGACAGCGGATCACCGTAAGATCTGCCGGAAGGCTTTCAACGGTCCCGAGGAGGAGCCCATGTGCAAATTCACAGCCACAGAGGACCGTACATTTCTAGGAGGCGTCTCCTATGACAGAGCAACTGGTCCCAGCTCCAGTGCCATCACCTTCATGCCCCCAGGCGTTTTCCAAGCTGAGACGCAGATGCCCTTTGGCATCTCGCAGATCAAGTTGATCAGCGACAAGAATGCAACGTGCAGAATCAAAGGTAAGAAGTACAAGTTATTTGGACGTCTGGGAGTGTTCTCACTCAGATTGTCAAGCAAGAATCTCAGTCCATTGGATGTGATCCTCTGCAATCAAAACGTCATGGCGGTCGGCTTCAAGAACATGTCATCCAGCGCAGCCCCATCCACAGCACTTCCGCCTTGTCTTTTGGTGCAGAAGGGTTCTGTGCCCCAGCATCTTCCTTGCTGTCGCTTTGATGCGCAGAACATGCGTTCTCAGCAGGTTTGTTTTCATTTGCCAGGTTCCTGCACCTCGGCTGAATCTACTGTCCGCTACAGCATGCCAAGCTGCCGACATGCGCGGTGTTGGAGGCTGGAAGGGTCTTGACCTATTTCGATGATGTTGGGTTGAATTTCTGATTGTTAGAGCTTGCCAGGCTTGCAGCTGGACACCGTCTTGCATTTGGTGCGCCTTGAGTCTGCAAAACCTGAAACAGCATTTGTGCAGAAGCCCACTGCCCGGTCAGGAGCCAGGATTTGTTTTCGTGAATGTCTTGGAGAAAACGGCTAAAGGAGAGGTCCACACAATTGCCAAAGAGGACCTTACATTGTGCCCAGGCCCCCTGTGCATTTCTGCAGCTGCATTTCCAAGTTGAGAGGAGTTCAATGAGTTACTGCAGCCGTACAACAAATATCCCGTCGTAAAGCGTATCTGCCCTTCGTGCGCGGCCACTCATACGGAGCCTGAGCTGAGATAGCACGAGCATGCCATTTGTGTGGATATTCTCTCTCAAGCTTTCATGCATTGGAGTCTGTGTCCCGAGGAGATTGTGTATCGCAGATTTACTCCTTTGAACGATTACTCTCCTTATGATTCGTTGCTCGGCCTTGTTGAAACAAACGCGTACTGTCAAGGAATTGTGGGTATTCAGATGCCGTATTCACCGTGAGGTTATCATGCGCCTGGAACGAAGATCCAGACAACATCGAGGGAAAAGATTTCAAGCTGTTTAGCAACCTCAACAATGCCTTCGAGGACCGACGCCAGATGCAGATTATCTCTTGCTAGGCCCCCATAGCACCATGCTACGCATAGCTACGAGTGCACATGCAGGATGAGCACAAATGGTCCGCATGTAATTATGCTCCGCTTGGCAGCTTCAGGCCAGGAAGTGCTCGGATTGGGGATGTCTTCGGAGTAAACTCTTGTGCAGGGGCTTCCCCTTTGAAAGCGGTCCTCTCACAACACTTGGCGAGCAGTGGGACAGTATCCCTGTCAACGCAGGCCAGGACTTTTGAGTAAACCTGTTGGGTTTCCGTTTGCAGGACGACAGACTTCATTTTCATTACAAATGAGCGCAGGAGATTCCACGGGAAAGTGCACGACGGATAAAGGCCAGAAAGGGCAAGTAGCCTGGCGAGCGACCATTTTTGCAAGGTCGCATTTGTTGCAGGTGGCCGTGCAGTGTCATTCCACATGCTCCTTCCCATCGTGCCTCAGACGTTTAGGCAAGCTGAGTGTTGACCGCTGATCTTGCAGCATGTGGTTCCAAAAGCACACACGCGAACCATTACCCAGCGGGCATAGAACTCTCAGTGACTGCAGCTAAGCTGCTCTGGCACAATTAGAATTGCGTCGAGATTTCTAAGTTGCTGTCTAGGTCTATCACATGTCTACCGACATCTTGCAAACTGAAGCACATAGAAACGCAGCTAAGGCAGAAATTCGGTGAGAGAGTCACGTCAGTCGCATGTCTCCTGCAATCTTGACAACAGTGTTCAAGCCTCCCGTGTAGCAAAGCGAAGGGGCTACCTCGCGTGGAGCAACCCGAAACCGAGTAGGGTGTGCAGCGGTCAGCATAGCATCAGCACTTTCCGAGATCCTGCTCGGAGGCTTGGTTTGTCTGTCGATCAAGATGGCCGTGTCACAAGCTTGGAAGAGTCCGAGTTCAACCGACGTTTCCAGGAGAGCAGGTAGCAACCTCAGAAGAACATCTACAAGCTAAGCCAGCGTTCCGCTGACGTTCGCTCAGGTACCACATCATTCTGCGCAAGTGCCAGGAGTGCGCGAAGAGCCACAGGTGCCTCAGCTTGTTTTGGGGACCCTGGGGTGACAGTTTATTAAGTTTTGCACGCGAAGAGGCATGTCTTCTATCGGAGAATCACGAACACGGACACCTACGAGCCTTACCGGGCTTTGGCATGCGATTGGCAGGCCAAGCTACCCTCGCCCTACCTGAAGCGGTGCTTGCACTTGCTGCATACATGCGCCTTGCCAAGAGCCTGATGGCTAAGTTCGGCACATCCACCCAGGCTGGCGAGGCAAATGCATACATGGTGGACTTCAAGCTGTACAGCGATATCCAGGATGCTTGCTGCATTGCCTGTTGCCATTTTGGCAGCAAAAGCAGAATAACTCCTTGGAGGACGCGCTTGCGGATAACAATCCATGGGAATACTGCGCTTTTGATGGCAGCAGTCCTACGGTCGTAGAGTCATCCATCCTGCTGCATAGAAGGTATGTAAGGCCAAGTACTATCGAGGCAATGGGTTTCCCGGGACCTGTAGCCCAACCGGTGCAGCCCTCTCCCCAGTTGCGTGAAAGTTTTGGGCGAACAGTGCATGTCACACGGCACTTCATACTCAGGCAAAATCGGGCCAGGCTAGCTATATACCAGTGTCTGGTTGCACAGGCACATCTGGCAAGGTGGGACACGCAATGGCATGCGTGCATGGCTGGCGGCACCAAGTGAGGCCAACCTGACTTTGGCTTGCCAGGCAGTTTCCTTTGAGTTGTACGAGGATGAGGACTTGGACGTAGAGGAGTTGCAGGCCGGAGCATTTTGTGATCATCATGAAATGGTTACGCAGACCGTGGTGAGGATGCGGCTGTTGACAGTGTCCGAGCTGTCCAAGATGCGGCGCTTCCGGCGGCGATTGTGCCCGCTGAAGGTCTGGTTTCCTGGTTCAGGATCCGCAGCTTTGCTCCAAGTTCACTGGTGTCTCATTCTCACCTTGGCATGCGCGTTGCAGGAGTGAAGATGCAGGGCCCAGTTGGAAAAGCAGCGTGGGAGCTTTCACAGCTCCTTGATGCAATGAGCTTGCACTTGGCGTTGTTGCTGCCATGAGGCATGTGAGGATGTCGCGCATGTATAATTGCTGTTGGATTGAGGCAGAGGCACAGGGTGGTCTGGTTCGGGCTGCCCCACGGCACTATGGTGCTGAGCTTAAGCACATCTATGGTGACAGCAACTTCGATGCATTGGTGTGCCTTCTGTTATCTGACTGTGCACCCCAACGCTGTTTGCTTCTGTGCCTGTCCCTGTTTGCCTCGCTCAAGGCAAGTCAAGCTTTACCTTCGGTGACATTCTTCCATCAACGTTCACGCAGCTCTTTCGCAGTAAGCCAAGATGCTCATGACTATGAGAGGTTTCGTTCACCACATCACAATATTCAGCTATCATGAATCCGCAACAAGTGCTCATTCGATTTAGCTTGCCAGGATGTGCTCTTTGTCAGCGTACACGGGCATTGCACAGGGCAAGATTCTCCGTGGTGAGTGACCTGGCCCAGGAAGCATGAACCGCCTGAGCACAGATATTGTTGCAGTGAAAGTTGAACAGAGTCAGCTGCACAAACTTGCGCACATCTGCCTACACCAAGACACCAAGCTCTGACATGTTCGTTTTGCATCAAGCAGCTGGCAAAGGCTTGGTGAACGAACCGAGCTGTGGCTTAAGCAAAGTAAGGAACTTCTGGCATGGACATGCCGAAGGGCAAGCGGGCAGTGTCTTCTACGGCCAGATGGTGCACGATGAGAAGAACTTGACGGGAACTCGAAATTGGATTGCTGCTCGTGGCAATTAGTGGAGCCAGTTGCTGCGTTGCTGTGTTGAACGACGGGTTGTTGGATGGCAGTGTTGGTGCTCTGGCAATGCAGTTCTCAGGCTCTTTGCGCTTCAAATCAACATGAGTTCGTATTTCTGGATGGCATTATGCTCAGTTTCAGAGAAACTGCACAATGCACCCATGGCCTGCAATCTGTGCTGTTATCCCCGAGGTATGGAGATTGCGGCCAAATTTGCTGGGAGTGGTGGCAAGACAGTAGTCGGTATCAACGATGGCCCTGCTGAAGTGCCATGAATGCACAAGCAACCCTATGGGCGACGGATGTGGACCTTGCTGAAGCTTTGCGCTGAGGAACACTCGGACTGGGCGGTCGCAGAGATCCTTACCTGGGATCGTGTGCTGACTCGCTACCTGCTTGTGTTGATGCCGTCGACTTTCGTTTAGAAGTGCGCCGGTATGAGAGCATGTTTATCTCGCGAGTAGCCGAGGCTATGAGATGAACGAGGTTCAGAACTACCTCCGCGCGAAGGCAAAGACCTGCCAGCCTGAACAAGCAGCCCAGCCCGGGCCTTGGGATTCCACGCAGTGACACTGGCGATGGCCAGTTCTACCGGCACCATTCTACAGACAGCCAGTGATGCTGCAGGAATTTGGACAAATGCTGAGCCCAATTTGAAGGAGGGTCTGCTAAGCTCACGCTCAGGTGTGAAACAGCTCCTTGCGTCTCGCTCTTTGCCGCTTGACCTTGGGAATCTGAGAGCAACTGCAACTGCAACTGCCTCCACTTCTATTGCGTCGACTCTGAGGTGGGCCCCAATCGTCACAACGTCATGTTCCGCAATGACGATGGGACAGCTACAGTACCTGGCTCAGCTCAAGGGCTTCTGTGAAATCTAGCGTCATCTCTCCTGCAAACTTGCTCAGGTCAAGACCTACGGAGGGACGCCGGTGACCTGTGTTTGCAAAGGACCTGCGCATGCATCACTTTGCTCATGTAGTGAAAGAGAGAGGGCTACTGCAGAGGACATTGCGTTGGGCTGGTGGGCTCTTGGAGATGTGACGACGGACCCTACGGCGGCCACTACACGATCAGCCCCAGCTACAGTGACAATTGGACACCGGAGACCAATCGAGACAGCCTGCTTCTTTGTAAAGTTGCCAGGCTCCCTGTGGTGCCTTGAGTCCTACAGCACGAGCTCTATGAGCTCATGCCCTGAAGTGTAAGGCTTCTGAAGGATCAGCTTGTTCACATGGCAGGCCCATGTGGTCTGAGAAGGCGGAGGTTGACAGCAAGCGCTTCGCAATCCAAGCCGGCACTTCGCAAGAGCTTGTGAAGGCGTCTCGGCAAAGTAGATCGAGTCAGGGGACCGAGCATCGAGCGATGGCCGAGGACACGTCGTTCACTTTAACAGCTACAATTCGACGAGATGGAGCCGGTGGGCCACAGCCTCCTGGCAGCATCATGTCACATGCGCCTGCTTTTCTGCACAGAGAACTTGCCAGGACGCTCTTCAGCTCCAGCCATGACCGGGTTTTCACCAAATCTGACGGTCTAGCTATAGCAACATGGATTGGGTGTCGCTGTAGATAGAATGAAGAGCTCATTCCATTCAGAGTTGGTAGGAATCCTCCAACATGGACCAAGACCTTCGGGCGGTTGTCAACGCGGACAGCACTTTCGCTGTAAGATTAAAACAAGCACTGCGGAGCCATGAAGCACAGGGCAGAGAAGCTTTGCACCTCCCTGCGTACAGGACGGCACCTTCAGCTTCTCCTTCGGTGCGACACCCTAGTTAAGCTGAATTTGTGGATGATGAGTCCTCTGTGCCATCTTGAATGTGTCGCACCAGAGAGCGAGCTGTACGTGATGTTCTGCACTCAGGTGGCCAAGCTTGCCAAACAGCACCGACAGAAATGAGCGTAGCGGGTGAATGGCAGCATGTGGCCTTCATGTACGATATGGTGCAGACTCTTGACTCTGAGTGAATCCGCCATGCAGACCATACATTGGTAACATCTTGAACGGATGACTGAGGAACGAGACTAAGATTTATCTCAACGCTCTCGAGGTTAAGGCTTGCAGCTTCGGGTGGCTTGGACCAGATTGATCGATTAATCAGCCGAACAGACACACGGGTTGCGGTTGGTACTGGCAAGCGGAGGTTTTCATTCGCGCCAGACGATGCTGCAAAATTCGCAATTGGTGGTTACAAAGATGGGAATAAGTGGTCAGGGGCAATGAAGGACTGGAAGCAGGCACTTTAAGTTGCTGTGTCGCACCGCCCGGCAAGCCAGGAGAGCGCGGTCTATTCCCAGACGCTGAGCACACCCCTCATTGGCCGTTTGGCAGGTGATCTTGCCATGCCAAAGGCAGGGGCGTGCTGGGCAGAAGTGCTTCTGTAAGTGTTCGGAAGGACACGTAGAATGCGTCGTTTGTCATTCCAGGCTATGGTGTGGTATTCCCATGAAGATGGCTGGAATCGGAAAAGCTATGTGGAAGCTGTCAGCTATTGTGCGAAGCGCAAGATGAAGTTACTCAGCTGCACTCAAACAGTCCACTGTACTGACATGGAACAGCTTGTTGTGGTAGATAAAACGCACAGGTGAGTGCCTAACTGCATCCACACACACAAATAACACATGGAGGGGGAGCGGCGCCACCAAGGTTAGCGCATTTCGAAGACTACTGCACCCAAAACAGCGATGGGGTTTTCACAGTAAGTCCTCGCGTGGCTCCTGGAGATCAATGGGCACCATATGCTGGCCAAGCGCTCAGCGCAACATGCCCAATCATGCCCAGCAGAAAAGTCAAGACGTTCTTTGCAGGTCTGCGTGTAATTCGTAAGAGCACGAGGGCAATCATATTTGTGGAATTCGATTGTGTGTTTGCAACGCCAAGGAGCGCAGGAGAACTCGTGGGTGCAAGTTGGCAATGGAGCCAGCACCAAAAATCCGACTGAGCCTTGCAAGACCTACGAGCAACAATTTGGCGACAAGCCTGTGTGGGGAATGGACGGCGAGTCCTACCGATACAAGTCTTTCCTTGCTTGCAAGGCATCGTATGGATTCATCCCGTATTCCGCAGACAAGGGTCAAGGAAAATGCGATAAGGGCGAGGAGGTACCACACGCTAATGCTGCCAGGACAGAATATTCTTGCAAAATGCATTGCGTCAAAGAGGCCAGCTGTGCGTTTGCCAGTTGGTCTGCCACAGAGCAAGATGGAACCTGCACACTACTTTCCACCTGTGACTCGTGGTCTCCATCCTCGACATCCACAACGTGGATCAAGAAACCATTGCGTTAAACCCTACTCATCTGTTCTCGTACAAGGCAGCTACAAAGCCCGCCGGATGGATCATCAAGTGGAACTGGTTCATCGCGGCAGTGGGTGCCGTGCCAGACGAAGCAGGAATCTGTCAGCAAAGCAAGTCCCAAGTTCGACCCTTCGCTGCCCGTTCAGAGACCTGACAGACAGACTCCAGGAGAATCTTCGTGCAAAAAAAACGTGCGCCCTTAGTGTCAGAGCTGGGCCTACTTGAATCATGCATCTGCAGCCAATGCAGCCAAAGTTGGCCTTTCTTGGCCTTCCAGGCGCTCCTGGTCCTCAGCTTCATACGCGAACCAGAGGCTGCCTTGCACGGCGAAGACATGCATGCCCGACAGGGCAATTGAGCCCCCAACTCGGCCAGGACGGTTAGTCTGCTTGCCAGGGGCCAAAGCACTGCTCCCAGAGTCCTTGCAGAGGTTCAGGGTGACTATCTCAGAAAGGAAGCTCTCTGTTGCTCAGGCAGTCCCTGAAGGGCTATGTCCTTTGCATGTGTACATACCACCCGGGGCACGGTAGCGTCTTCGTCGTGCTTCCAATGGTCAGCTGCACATGCAGACATTTGCGCACTTGCATGTTTGTTCCGGCAAGTGGTGACTGTGTTGAAGGCCTGACGCACACACGCATGGGCGGGCAACACTGGCTCGAGCAGCATAATAGCCCCCATGTCTGAATATGGTTGCAGCCAGCATGTCAACCTCCATGTCATCTTAGCCAACGCGCAAGCGGAGATGTAATAGTCTTCGGCTGAAGTATCTCATAAGACTCTCACCATGGCGACATTGTGGGAGCAGGATGCAGCCGACCGACAGGATTGGCTTTGCGTGACGACTCAAAGCCAGTACGCACGACTTGAAGCATGCAGGTGGTGATCGATGCTGGCGCTGCCATTCGACTTAAGCATCTGGGCTGAAACTTCTGCCTGCCCTTGCGGAGAGATATTTCCACCACAAAAATGCAAAATCTTCGCAGCATGGGCCACCAGTCAAGAATTCACTACTTGTACGTTGCGTATCATGACGTTGCTCACATTTCCCAAGGGCTAGAGTCACATCGGTTGCACAGCTTGAGCACTGTTTCTTGAAAGCTTTTGATCTGGTAGGCCCTAGTGATGGATCTGTATGCAGGGTACGGGATGTAAGGCGTTTGGAGCGCTTCGGTGGCAAACTCTTCACAACCAGTGGAGTTTATGCAGAGGCTGGGGGCCGCGGTGTTAGCATGTGTTAGCGAAGGGAGAGCTCGAGAGAGCCAGGTGCGAGACGAGAATGCGCGAGCTCTGCTGCAGACGCTACCGGTGGAGCTGAAGGTGCCAAGCTAGTTTGCGGAAGTCAATAGACCTTGCAAAACTGGAAGGTTATGGAGCCGCGGCCAGAGGACTGTCCTAGTTTTGTACGGGTCAAAGCTGGATTGCTTTGAAATGCCAGATGAAGGTATGAAATGTTGAGGTCCTCCCGTGCCCGCTGTTGCCATATCAGCTTCAAAACCAGTTTCGAGGTTTCTCAGCAGCAGGTCAGGCAGACCAGCAGCCATGGTGCCAATTGCTCCACGGCTCCACGCCCAGGCAAGGCGTACTTGTAGGGCCGTGGGTAGCGGGATCAAGCTGTGACATGCTGCGACTTCTGGTCTTGCAGTTGCATGTACTTTGCGAAATCGCTGCTGAAGAAAAGCGTTTTCCAGTATTACTTGCTGCAGCATTTTTGGCTCAGTTGCAGCGGGGCAAGCGAGACAAGCGATACTGACACCCTCAAGACGTCTAAGTGCTTACAAGAGAAGCCACTCGTGTAGCCATGGGATCCGAGCAGTCGCTCCCGGTGGCCTCCTTCAGCCTGGGAGACAGTCCGGTTGAGCCGCAAGGCTGAAGAGTGTACCATTTCTCAACAGACCTTTGCTACACCAGACACTTTTTTCTATGTCGCGTGCCTCAGCTCTTGTCTGTGTTCCCGCGAAGCTCACCCTGCTTTGGTTGAGCGTTTGACTGACGGTGATCATAGGTTGGCTTGAGAACTGAGGCTTGCCGCCACAGTATTGTTTCATGTACCTTCAGCGGCAAAGATTCGTGGTTCAGCGAAGCACTTAGAGACCGCAGCCGTGTCATGTGATTTCGCAGCTTTACACGAAGACCGTGTCTTGAGGAGCCTTTGGATGCCTTCCACACCTCGATAGTTGTGGGGCAGGCTGGAAATGAAGTGTCAATACTGCAGACAGCAGCTACCATGTGTATCTTGGACTGATCGTTATACATCTGCATGCTTTGTGTCTTGCGCTCTTTGATTGAAAGCGCTTGTTGAACCGAAAGAGCTTTCAGCTATTCCCTTGCCTGATGGTCTTTGGCCAGTGACCTTGTTGCGTGAACCAAGTCCGTGACTGGACATTGCAGGTGGAGTATTCGTTTAGTGGCCAGGGCATTCGAGTACCGCAGTGGCACATCAGTGTTTTTCAGAAAACGATTTTTCCACAGACTCATTCCAAGGAAACAAAGCCGCTTGTCTCCCACTCGATGCTGAAGCGTCAGACAGAGAGGCAGCTTGGCTTGGGTCTGGAGAAACCTTTCTGCGCCAGTCCATGGACTTGGCACATCAAGTGCTAGTTGCTAGTCCCCAGCAGCCTCAGAGACTCAGAGCCAAGATTCAACAGGTTGCTTTTCGGTTGCTGTTCTGGAATCTCTCAGACCCTTTCAGCTCCTTTTTTGTCTTCGTTTCAGCCTTGCCTCGAAGTGCCGCGCATATCTCTCATTGAGGTTTATGGGGCCTTTAGAGGTTGAATTCAGTGGTTTGAAGTGCCATACTGGTACCCGACCTTCGAGATGAGCAAATGCCGTAACCAGTCTGACATGCATGTAGCCGCCTCCACGTGCACGCCATTGACAAGTTTGCATGTCGTGAGTATAGCAACGCTGGTTTGTCCAGATTGGTGGTCGGCCACACGCCCTTCTCCGGATACCAGGCCTGGCATCAAAAGGGTCTCTAGACCTGGGCCTTGCCCATTCAGCAGCGGGTTGTGGAGTTACAAGCTTTGTCCTGATGAACGCCTCTGCCTGACAAGATGGCAAACTTTCTGCACCAGTTCTTCCAGCCCGCTACCTATGAATCTCGATCCAGTCAGTTCTTTGTGGGAGTGGGGCTTGAGTACTGAGAGAGTGGCTGCTTTCCACGATTGCCTTGATGTCCGAGGATCTCCTATGCAAGAATTGCAACAGCTTTTCCGATTGTGTGAGGATCTCAGCTTTGCCGGCTGAAATTGCTTGTGCGGTGTTGCCGAAGAACAAGATGCCGGGTTGCTGTCGGTGCTTGGTGTAGACGGTGGGGCATAGGATATTCAATCACGAGACCGCAGAGTTTCCATGGGGCATAATTACAGCATCCTGGGGCTGCTTGAATCCAGCCTACAGTGGCTGGGCATATATGAGAAAATTCTATTCTTTCAAGCGCGCAACTACCAACTTCCAGCAAGAAAGAGGGAGCTCCTGCTGCCGTGGCCCACATCAAGAGTTCAGAAAGTCCCAGCTAAAGTGCCAAACGGAGACTGAGACGATCAAGTTCAGGCCTTGTATTTCCTGCTTGGCCAGCGGTTGGAGGCATGGAGAGCCCCTGACGCCACAATGTCTTCAACCTCACTCACCTGTCAGGGCAAGTTCTCCAGGATGGAGAAGTATGGAAAAACTGGACAGATGCTTGCCCCAAATCCAGCACCAGAGATGGCCTTGTGTGCACCTGCAACAGCGCATCAAGCTGCGGCAGCATCATCTGCCCAGGAAGCGAATCGGCCTAATGTCCGCTCTGAGGTTGCTAGGCTCGATGCTTCTTGACAGTCGGCCCTGAAAACGACCTAAGGAACTCATGTTCAACGAATTCAGTCAAGTGCCAAACTGCCGAAGCACATACTTCTGCAGTGGTGGTCATAGGATGCGTCGGCTTTTCGTAGTGCGCAGGCATGAACTACCATCCGAACCCCCACTCACAGAGTTTCCAGGCGGAGTTTCGCATGCAGACGGCCATGTCATGCCATGTACTGTGGGACATGGTGCCGAAGTTGTAAAGCTGCAGCTAATAGCTAGAAGGTCGAGGAAGTCGTGAAGAGGATCAAGGCTTACAAGGGGCCTGGCTATCATCAAGTGGACCGGCTGCAAGTTTTGCTGTTTCTACTCAGTCCAAGCCAGCCGGCCCTTCTGCAGGAACTAGGTGAGGGAAGGTCGCCTACCGACCCCTGTTGCTGTCACGTCTTCTTCTGAGTGGGTGCGAGTCGTCATGGCTGGCTTGGCATGACGTTTTGGCCAGCAGGCCAGTTGTGATCACACATGTACCGTTCCCACTTCATGTTGACAGCAATGTTCGTCATGCTGACAATATAGGGCGCGTCGTGACGACCTGCAATTTGAAGTCTGCAATCTGTGAACTGTTGTAGGCTAAAGTGAAAGCTGTTGCCCAAAGGGCACAGTTACAGGTAGGTTCTTTAGTTGTCAAGACTTTCGCAGAGGATGGAGGGGTTTCAAAGCTGTGCCGTACGGTCTTCTTGGCAGGCCTGTCAAAGGCAGGTGCGCTTTGGACTCCTTTCCTGTGCGGTCTCGCTGAGCGACAAAACTGGACTGCTGTTCAAGATGAAGCATTACCTGGCCAACTTTTGCTGGTTTGCGTGCCTGCATAGGCTGGCTTTGGGCTGTTGCTTTCATCCATCTTGTTACTGTCAGGCTGTTTGCCATGGAGCTGGAGCGCCACATGATGCACGATGCTGGATACTTTTATTTAGAGTTCATATTCTGTACAGCTTGCAAGACTTGAAGTTTCACCTGGCTCCGGTCCCGCTGGCATCTGCTGGCCCTTTGCAGGCCATGCCAGAGAGAGGAGCAAGCTGGAGGGTTAGCGAGGCGTTGTGCAAAAGAGCAACTTTGGCATGGTGTTCGATTTGAATTCAAGCTGCAGTCCGCAGCGCAAGCGCCAACCTGCTTGTGTCGCAGCAGGACATTGCGTTCGCAAAGCAGTTCT